AATGAATCAACGAACGAATCAATGAATGAAACAATGAATGAACCAATGAATCAATGAATCAATCAATGAATCAATGGATCAATGAGTCAAACAATGAGTCAATCAATGAATCAATTATGGAATCAATCAAGAAAAATCAATAAGAAATCAATCGTCCCTGATCGAATATAGGGTCCAGGCGCTGTGACGCAATGGAGGCCATTGCGGGTTTCCTGCAGAATGAATAGAATGCCCGACGGAGCGTCAATTGTTATGCCTTCTTCTTCTGGGAGGGAGACGTTGGCCGCCGGTTGGGATCGGCGGCTGCGTGAGGCAGATAGATAGCAGTGTCTCTGGACGTGCCGCTTTCACAAGTCCCGTGAGACAGGTGCAAAAATGCTGTACTGGAAAAGGGGGGATAAAAGGCTTTGCATGTCGCATGGCCCATTCTGTATCCTCCAGCACAGGGGCTAGGTCCCACTTGCACGAATTAAGAGATACTGACCGTAGATAACAAAGATCGACGGCCGAAATCTCCTAATTGCCGCAAGTGGGACCTTGCCCCAGGCTGACGAAACAGAAGGTTAGAGGGAGGAAGCACAGTAACCGTGAAACAGTACAAAAAAAAACAGCACAGGCTGAAAGGTGCTTCCCGCCCTTTGGACTTTACAGTTTTTGTACTGAATGGTGCTTCCCGCCCTTTACGAGAATGTGGCGTCAATTTTTTGTTATGCCACATGAGACAGGAGTATGAAGGATCCACCCAGCACACGTGGCTGAATGGTGCTTCCCGCCCTTGAAAAAAAAAAAAGGGGACTAACCGTTAGTAAACAGAACACGAGTTCGAAAAATCCTGGTTGAAATTTGATGAACACGATAAAGTTAGGGGCTTCCCACTCTTTTTCAAAAAGGGGACTGGAGGATCCAGCCCAACCAAGGTCCTTACGTGTGAAAAAAAAACAAAAAAGACAAGCAACCTCACAAGGGGATACCTACCCTCCCTCACGGTTTCGCCGTTGAAGGGTGTATTTTGGATTATTTCTGAAATTATTCTCCCTCTCTCTCCACTGTTTCTCTACCTTTGTCTATCTTCTAGTGACTCGCTGCTCATTCTACGTCTACATCTAGTGATTTTGGACTTGGTCCCTACTGTGACTGGTTCCATTTGAGTGCATTAGGATGCTTGCATGATCTACTTGTGAAAGCTTCTCAAAATTGACGGTCTAAAAAAAATAAAATAAAAAATAAAATAAATAAATAAATAAAAATTTGCCTTGCTAGTCATTGCACATTGGCCTGGCCGTCGTCGAACTTCCCTTCGACGGGCAAAGTCAGTACCTTTGGCTCCAAGTACAATCTTGTGCCCCTGTGGCGGGCAAAAGTCAGTTCCTTGGGTCCAAGTCCAAATCTTGTGCCCCTGTGGTGGGCAAAGTCAGTACCTTGGGTCCCAAGTGCAAATCTTGTGCCCCTGTGGCGGGCAAAGCCCATTCCTTGGGTCCCAAGTCCAAATCTTGTGGTGGCGTGACCATCTCCTGTGGCGGGCCAAGAGAGTTCCATGGGTCGAAATCCAAATGTTGTGCCTGCCACAGCCAGTTGCTACGGTCGAAGTCCCAATGTTTTCCGCTAACATACACCAACCGGAACGATCTTGAAAGCCCACGGTACCAAAGGGGGACACCGCGCCTTATCTTTGCCGACAGCAACCGGATAAACCTGTCCTTCCGTTACTAGCTCCACACACCCTTCCACTTTTGTCATCGGGTCCCCCAAGGGCATAGAGCCCCGTGGTTCCCTGCCACTTTCTCACAAGATAGATCCCTCATTGCCCAGATCTTCCGCCACCTGTAGAACAACCGTTGTGGGGGATGGTCTCCCTTATTGACCAACCACTTCCCCCCCTACTTGCCTGCGGTCCGCCTGGAACAGCTGGATCCATTCCTTGGGTGTGGCTTCCCTCAGGACGTCCAATCCCTGTGTGCAAGCCAGTTGTTCATGTACGCGCCCCGCCTGATTTTTTGGGTTCTCCAACACCGTTCTTCAGCTTGATTCCAAGCAATGCAATTCGATTCGATTTCGACATTTGATTCAATTCGAATCGATTTCGACATTTGATTCAATTCGAATCTCGACATTTGATTCAATTTGAATGGATTTGATTTTTCGATATTTGATTCAATTCTACTCGATTTCGATATTTGATTCAATTCGATTCAATTCGATTCAATTCCATTCGATATCGATACTTGATTCAATTCGATTCGATTCGATTGGATTCAGTACTGAACTGAGAAGGGTGTTGATTTACGGTGCAGGATGCTGGAAGAAAACTGGTCGTTTATACGTTTACGAACGCACGTAGCGCTATCCTGAACAACTTTTGCCTCAGGGTCACATTGAAATTCTTTACCAAATTAGAAAAATAAAATAAAATTAAAAATATATTTTTTAATTTTCTAGGCTACCAGCCGGGCCGACCGGGTCACCCTGTTTTCCTGGGCGGCTCGGCCGTGCAAGGACCAGGGAAAGTCCCAGCAAAAAAAAAAAAAAACTGTTAAACTGAACAACTTTTGCCTCAGGGTCACATTGAAATTCTTTACCAAATTAAAAAACAAAAAACAAAACAAAAACAAACAAACAAACAAACAAACAAACCGGGCAGCTCTGTTTGATGATATATATCAGCCTCCTGATGAGTAGGTGAAACTCCGACGAAACAGTTTGTCACAGCCCCTCGTTTGTTGTCCTCTTCTCTCACTCTGCCTACGGTTTACCGGGCAGTTCTGTTTGTGACGATATGTATATATATTTTTGGCCCGGCCTGGCAAGTGGTCCCGGGCCACTCTGGTAGCCTAGTTTTTTTTTTTTTTTAGGCCTGGCCGGGGAAGTGGTCCTCGGCCACTCTGGAAGTTAGGAAAAAGAAAAAAAGAAAAAGAAAAAAAAGAAGAAAAAAGAAGAAAAAAAGAAGGAAAAAAAAAGACAAAAAGAAAAAAGGAAAAAAGAACAGAAAAAAAAGCCTGAAGGCATTCCAATCGGAGAGAGAGAAAAAATGGTCAGTTTGAATGTGTCCTCCTTATCTGTTTGCTACTCATTCTAGTAATGTATATTGTATGTCGATGGAATACCCACAAAGATGCATCACATGTCATGGCATCGTAGACAAATGAATTCACTAGCACTGGTAATCTGTATGATCTATCATCCATAGCCCCTCCCCCCTTCTCCCCCCCCCCCCCCCCCCC